TCGATATCCGTGTGGGTAGTGTTCATATATGGTAATTAAAGTCTCTCGAAGCCGATAAGAAAGTCGCTACAAATCTTTCGAAGCGACGCGGCATCTAGAACGATCGCGAAGCGCAAGTCGAGTTGCCATGGCCAGGTCATAATCAATTAACGACGACCAGTAGCGAACGGCGTTATTTTTTTCAGGGGGTGATTTACAACACTACCCCCTTCCCTAAGGTTGTTCGCCCCAAACAACATTCTAAGAAGGAACATTACGACCAAACGAAGGGGGTTCTCCTCTCAGTCAAGCTATGCAGCGCTCTGGGGATTTCTCCAAAGTCCTTCAAGAAATGACGGTAATACCATCAGAGTACAAGGAAATGTCTTACTTTGTGCTTACTCTTCGATGTTGGCCATTCTTGCACGGCCTTGGTTTTCATTGGATCGGTTTCAACTCCTTTTCAGGACACCAGGTGTGTCAAGAATTTCACCTTTTTCTGAAACAGGCAGCACTTTTTGAGATTCATCTGCAAATGAGCATTTCGCATTCCTCCAGTTTGACATATGTTCGACAAAACTTTTTCCGTTCACTATAATGTCATCAAGACAAGACAAGAGTCCTCTCAGCACCAACTCCATCAAGCGTTCAAATGTTGCGGATGCATTGCATAATCCAAACGGCATAAACATAAACTGATATAATCTATTGCTGGTGGAAAGGCAGTCTTCCCTTTATTCTCGGTGCGAACGACCTCCTGCTAATATTCGCTTTTTAGATCCAATGTTGAGAACCATCTGCATTCAGGCAAAATGTTCACGTTACCGTCTACTAGGGAGAGAGTAACTGTCCTTTCTGGTGACATCTTTGAATCTCCTGTAGTCTATGCAGAATCTCGTCGATCCGTCTTTCTTAGCCACCAACATAACAGGTGACGACCAGGAGCTGCTTGATTCTTCGATTACTCCTTCCTCCAACATGCCCTTAACGATAGATGAAGCTTCGTCCTGTTTTGCGAAGGGAAGTCATCCCGTTGCTTGGCCTATGGGCTTGGCATCGCCAGTATCGATCCGACGTTCTTCGATTACTCCTTCCTCCAACATGCCCTTAACGATAGATGAAGCTTCGTCCTGTTTTGCGAAGGGAAGTCATCCCGTTGCTTGGCGTATGGGCTTGGCATCGCCAGTATCGATCCGACGTTGAACGAAATCCGTGCTTTTTTCCCTCATAAACAAATCGTTATCTTCCTCTACGAATCGGTTGGCCTTGCATAGTTCTTCTTCAGACAGATGGCTCCACGTCTTCCTGAATGAGTCAATGATTTCCTTGGCGGGTTGTTGAGCACGCTGCAGAGGGTTTTCTTCCCCAATTTTCTCGGTGCTGGGAGATATTCTGGAATATTCCGAAATAACCACCTTAGCACTGTCATACGGCTGAGAAATCACATCGAGCAAAATTTCCTTATTTCCAACTTTTAACAGTTTGTTCGGTTATATCTACCACGAATCCGTAGAGGGACATGATGTCTAGTTCCAAAATGAATTCGTCGACTATGTTGACCACTAATACCTCAGTTTCTGTTTCGCAATTTCCAAGCCTAAGTCTCACTTCAGCTTCTCTATAGACCGCCAATCTATCTCCAGTGCCTATTTCCAAAACGGGTACTACTTATAACTTGTGCGTTCACATTCCTCTCTTCTGCGTTCGACTTTCTCTCTTCTGCGTTTTTCATTCTCCGCCAGGCTCGTTTGCAAAGCTTCGAACAATGCCTTAAGTTCGTCACGCATTGTTTTCACCATAAAACAGAAAATTTTCAGTCAATTATTCCACTTCTGACACCAAATGTTACGTTTTTCCCCGTGGGTTTACCAATATATGACTACACTGAACAATAATCCAACTTAACTTTATTTCACTTTGAATACCTTACTAGATCGCCCTGCGTACCGCACTGTAACTTCCATTTGACTGTATCAATGGGCAAGTGGTTGGCGCTTATATTTGGCAATCGAAGAGGCTGGAAAATTCCTCAAAATTCCCGCGGTAGCATTATTCTCGCCACCTCTAGTACGGCAGCGAGCATCGAACATTCGCGCGCTCTCAGCTACGTCACAATTGGTATATGACTACCAGTGGCGGCCGGTGTTATTTTCTTTAGGACATGATTAACAACAATATTTTGAACCCGTATTAAAATTCTTTAAAAAAAAATCTGCATTTCCTTTATCAAGTCTATGCAAAATCCTGTTAACTATTACACACGCCAGTGGCGGTTATTACAAAGTTATCATCGTTTTTTCCTTATCCATACATATCATACAGCTCACACTGATTCTTTTTGTACAAATTTTCGTACTCTATTCTATTCATTATTTTCAAACAAATGCGTATATCATTTTTACGTTTACAATCACGCCAGTGGCGAACATTTTCTGTGGTCAATAATATTAGTTAAACTGTGTCCCGACCCAACCGCCAATAATGTGTATCTAATGAAGGCTAAAAGAACCTCTTATCACTAAAAATAGCGTCTTGAAACGTGAAAATAGTTGAAAACACATTTGGGTTTGTCAATTATCCAAACCGATAGATAGGCATACGTGGTCCTTTAGAATTACCCACCAGATCACGTGATTTGCCGCTTCTAAATATTTTTGAGGAAATGCGTGACACCTAAAGTGTACGATATTGAGGTTGTTTAAAAAGTTTTGTCCGTTTTTATGAGTCTACTTTAAACTGTAATATATCGGTGAATGCTTTTTCAATTGAATTGAAATAAGCAAGCGCCATTTGAATCACTGCACTTTTGCCAACGCAACACAAGGCGATTAATTCCGTCAGCATAAAACGTGTGTGCTCGGGATACGATGAAGACGACAAAGGCCGTTTTTGCCTAGTCCTGATTGGCGAAGGTTCTACCAGTGAGAAATTTAATGAAGTGTTTGAAAAGATAGTAGTCGGTTGGCTAGAGGTCTGGGAAGTATGGTGTGTGAGGCAGAACTTCAACGCTCAATTCGTTTAATTTTCTGACTGTGATTTGTGAAACGTGCGGATGGGCGTTGTTGTGGAGCAGGATCGGATCTCTTCTGTTGACCAGTGCCGGCTGCTGCTGACGCAATTTCCTGTATGTTTCTTCTATTTCCTCACAATAAAAATAATTATAGCTAACCACCATACAATAATCATAGTTTCTTTTTTGCTGGGAAGTGCCTGGGTGGCTCATCGGTGTCCAACGACTGTCCTGGACATCTTCTGTTGTCGTAGAGGATTTACTTTTCATCACACGTGACGATGCGATCAAAAAAAGGATCGTTTTGGTTGCGCAAAAACAAAGAAGAACAGACCTCGAAACTTGACAATTTCTGTCGATCATTCAAATCGTGGGGCACCCACTTTTCGAGCCTTTTGACCTTTCCGATACGTTTTAAACTATCGAAAACCGCATGGGAACTGTCCAGTTTTTCCGCCATCTCACGCACCTTTTGTGATCGCACAGTCTCCACCAGGGTCCTCAAATTCTCGTCTTGGAAAAAAGATGCCTTCGTACAAAAATTTTGTTCGACCTTGATATCTTGTCCCTTTCGAAAATTAAGAGGAGTGGGCTATTTACATCTGTATGGGATCAATATTCCAACGGTTTAATTTGAGTTTAATTAAATTGTTGAGGCATACCTATACATCTTTCTAGTTCGAATCAGCGTACCAAGTTTCTAAAAAGCTGACTTACCTGTTCTAGTAACGTGATTGTGCCAAGATATATCGGTATCCAATTTGACGCCTAAAAAACTAATCGACGTAACAAGCTGAATTATGTGCCCTTCCATAATAATGTCCGGTTATATCACATTTACTTTCTCAATGAAAACTGATGCCTGGGTTTTCTCAGCATGACGTTCTTACTTGGTTACTACCATCCAGGACCGACATTTCCGTCGGATCTTAATTGAGATATAACACTTCTTGTTGTCAGAGAAAAACTATTCGAGCAAAGATCGTTGATGTATAAGAAAAAGGATTAATACGAGTCACATCTGTGTTGATGGTAAAGATGGACTATCGATGGCTACTTCAAAGCAAAGCTGGAAAACCAGGAGAAGAATGATCTGTCACGCCATAACATCTGAGTTCAATTGATGAATCCTCATGCGAAATACGATCATAGGTGTTGGAAATATCGGGTCCTATTGTCCGAAATATGACAGAAGCACCTGCTGATCTCTGCTTGCGAAAACCATATTGATGTAATCTTATGTCAATGTGTTTCAAATATTTCAAAGAACACGTTAACTGGTCTTCAGATAAAAAAAAATGTTTTTATTGTTTTTGGGTGCTGGCTGAAATAAAAGGAAGGATCGATTTTTGTAAGAGAGGTTAAAGAGCCTACTAAACACTGGTGCAAGCTCGTCGTCATATTTTTGACTTTGATAACACGTACCACCAGAAGCTTTGTTGATGATGAAGTATTTTAGAATTCGGTCAATCAGACCCTATCGAAAGGTAATTTTCGACACTGTAGATTGTATATAGCGAAAATGGTAGGTGGTAAGAGTTTACTACGGGGTGCGATGAAACATTTTCAGCAAGAAAATGTGTTTTTTTCTCTGTATCACTACGGTTTGTACTATCCTGCTGTGGAATGGTATAGTTCGAAAACATTGCCGGATCATAAAATGTTTTGTTGCATATTCATTGTTCCACGCAATTCTTCATCTCTGGTTTCAAATTATTGTTTTCCGCAACTCAGTTTTGCTGTAGATTTTATTGTGTTTGTACTTTAATAAAACAGTGGCACTTCATTTTAACGAACCTTGGAAATGGAAATGGAATTCAGGTTCGTATTATACAGTTTGTTGCTACATACAACATATTTGACAGAAAAATGAGACATGATGATCACGCTCTCGACTTTCGAAGTTTCCAAATATTTGGTAGTAAAATGAGTCTAAAAAATAATTTCTCACATATGTTTGTTTTTATACGTGTGGATTCAACCGGACCAAAAGTAAATTTTATTATTTTAGCTACACATCTCCAGCAGCGATCTCCCGGAGGAAACCTAGTTGGACCTGCGTGGCATTCAGCAGCCTCTACTTCTGCTACAGCACAAAAAATCCGATTGCAACAGCTGCAAATGGAAAGGGAGAGGCTCAAGCAGCGACAACAGGAAATTAGGCGACAGGAAATTTTAATGAGAAGTAGTAGTGACATACCTGTTATGGACCCCTTCCTGTCCAGTTTGACTGACCATTCGCGACAGGAATCTGGTGACAGTGGACTAGGTGAGCCCTTTATTTTTTTACAAGCTTTAATTCAACTTGACCTGTTGGTATGTTAGTTATACCCTGTTTTCCAGTAGCAAAAAGTAATAAATGCTCATGTCTACTCTATATTTGTATAGCAAAAAAGATTTTATGAGCATTTGGGTCGTTTTATCACCTGCAGTGGCGTGCTATAGGGTATTTATTCAAAAATACTTGTTAAAACTAATAACTATGTTTACTTATTTATATTCAATTAACATTTTTATAACTTTTCAATTCAAAATATGTACATAATGATGAATAGTTATGCCTTTTCAAGAAGATATTGGAAATAAGCAAAAATTATGGTGTGTTATCAGATAATTTCGATTAATCTTCGTCGAGTCTCACGTCGAGATTCCTTATCTGGCTTAAGTAATGTCTCCTCCAGCAAATAATTTGATTATTTTCGATTAAGAACGATTTTCTGTTTTGTTTTGCGGCTGCAAATAAACATTTTAAAATTGCAATCGCCTGGCCTGCAAATATGTACTCTATTCTATTCATTATTTTCAAACAAATGCGTATATCATTTTTACGTTTACAATCAACATATGAAGTCCACGTCATAATATGAGGTTAAAACGCCATTTTATGCGTAGTAGGGGGTCATGTAACCCACTGGACCTGAAGTTAGTTTATTTTACTAGCAAAGCAGTATTCAAAAAATATAATAGGAACCCGTTAACTTTCGAACGATATGAAATTGACAAAAAAGAATGTGGAATCTCTCTCCCTAACCTATTATTTGAAATTATGTTACAAAAATACTCGTATCTTACCATTGGTATCCTGTATCAATTAATCTCTTTTGCAAATCTCTGCCTCGCCTATTTAATGATGGTGGTTCGTGGGTTTCCATCAATAAAAAATTATTTTGGTGGTAGTAATATTTCGTTTTCCCCGTGTGTTTGCCAATCGTTGACTACACCGTACAATTAAACTTAACTTTATTTTGCTGCTACACTGACAATACAACCAAAAACTTCAACTAAAACTTTAACTAATATTCAGATTTATATTACCTTATTAGAACACTTCGCACCGCACTGTCAACTATTCTTCCTCGATATCCGTGTGGGTAGTGTTCATATATGGTAATTAAAGTCTCTCGAAGCCGATAAGAAAGTCGCTACAAATCTTTCGAAGCGACGCGGCATCTAGAACGATCGCGAAGCGCAAGTCGAGTTGCCATGGCCAGGTCATAATCAATTAACGACGACCAGTAGCGAACGGCGTTATTTTTTTCAGGGGGTGATTTACAACACTACCCCCTTCCCTAAGGTTGTTCGCCCCAAACAACATTCTAAGAAGGAACATTACGACCAAACGAAGGGGGTTCTCCTCTCAGTCAAGCTATGCAGCGCTCTGGGGATTTCTCCAAAGTCCTTCAAGAAATGACGGTAATACCATCAGAGTACAAGGAAATGTCTTACTTTGTGCTTACTCTTCGATGTTGGCCATTCTTGCACGGCCTTGGTTTTCATTGGATCGGTTTCAACTCCTTTTCAGGACACCAGGTGTGTCAAGAATTTCACCTTTTTCTGAAACAGGCAGCACTTTTTGAGATTCATCTGCAAATGAGCATTTCGCATTCCTCCAGTTTGACATATGTTCGACAAAACTTTTTCCGTTCACTATAATGTCATCAAGACAAGACAAGAGTCCTCTCAGCACCAACTCCATCAAGCGTTCAAATGTTGCGGATGCATTGCATAATCCAAACGGCATAAACATAAACTGATATAATCTATTGCTGGTGGAAAGGCAGTCTTCCCTTTATTCTCGGTGCGAACGACCTCCTGCTAATATTCGCTTTTTAGATCCAATGTTGAGAACCATCTGCATTCAGGCAAAATGTTCACGTTACCGTCTACTAGGGAGAGAGTAACTGTCCTTTCTGGTGACATCTTTGAATCTCCTGTAGTCTATGCAGAATCTCGTCGATCCGTCTTTCTTAGCCACCAACATAACAGGTGACGACCAGGAGCTGCTTGATTCTTCGATTACTCCTTCCTCCAACATGCCCTTAACGATAGATGAAGCTTCGTCCTGTTTTGCGAAGGGAAGTCATCCCGTTGCTTGGCCTATGGGCTTGGCATCGCCAGTATCGATCCGACGTTCTTCGATTACTCCTTCCTCCAACATGCCCTTAACGATAGATGAAGCTTCGTCCTGTTTTGCGAAGGGAAGTCATCCCGTTGCTTGGCGTATGGGCTTGGCATCGCCAGTATCGATCCGACGTTGAACGAAATCCGTGCTTTTTTCCCTCATAAACAAATCGTTATCTTCCTCTACGAATCGGTTGGCCTTGCATAGTTCTTCTTCAGACAGATGGCTCCACGTCTTCCTGAATGAGTCAATGATTTCCTTGGCGGGTTGTTGAGCACGCTGCAGAGGGTTTTCTTCCCCAATTTTCTCGGTGCTGGGAGATATTCTGGAATATTCCGAAATAACCACCTTAGCACTGTCATACGGCTGAGAAATCACATCGAGCAAAATTTCCTTATTTCCAACTTTTAACAGTTTGTTCGGTTATATCTACCACGAATCCGTAGAGGGACATGATGTCTAGTTCCAAAATGAATTCGTCGACTATGTTGACCACTAATACCTCAGTTTCTGTTTCGCAATTTCCAAGCCTAAGTCTCACTTCAGCTTCTCTATAGACCGCCAATCTATCTCCAGTGCCTATTTCCAAAACGGGTACTACTTATAACTTGTGCGTTCACATTCCTCTCTTCTGCGTTCGACTTTCTCTCTTCTGCGTTTTTCATTCTCCGCCAGGCTCGTTTGCAAAGCTTCGAACAATGCCTTAAGTTCGTCACGCATTGTTTTCACCATAAAACAGAAAATTTTCAGTCAATTATTCCACTTCTGACACCAAATGTTACGTTTTTCCCCGTGGGTTTACCAATATATGACTACACTGAACAATAATCCAACTTAACTTTATTTCACTTTGAATACCTTACTAGATCGCCCTGCGTACCGCACTGTAACTTCCATTTGACTGTATCAATGGGCAAGTGGTTGGCGCTTATATTTGGCAATCGAAGAGGCTGGAAAATTCCTCAAAATTCCCGCGGTAGCATTATTCTCGCCACCTCTAGTACGGCAGCGAGCATCGAACATTCGCGCGCTCTCAGCTACGTCACAATTGGTATATGACTACCAGTGGCGGCCGGTGTTATTTTCTTTAGGACATGATTAACAACAATATTTTGAACCCGTATTAAAATTCTTTAAAAAAAAATCTGCATTTCCTTTATCAAGTCTATGCAAAATCCTGTTAACTATTACACACGCCAGTGGCGGTTATTACAAAGTTATCATCGTTTTTTCCTTATCCATACATATCATACAGCTCACACTGATTCTTTTTGTACAAATTTTCAAATAAAATATTTAGGGAGAATGTGTTTTATAACGAAACATCTATGAAGAAATTGAAGTGAACAACATTCCTGGATAAACTTTACACGGCAGATAATGAATGAAGAAATAATTTAATGAATCTTTTGAACAGAAGCAAGTCGACTGACAAACATTATTCACATATTACTTTGATATTGACAACCGATTTATAAAAAAAGGGAATTTTTGAAAATTAATATTTTCAATAATCATTATTTTCCTTCTTCCCGTTTGTTTTTGAAAAAAAACTTATTTAGTTTATCTAAGCATTCATCCCAGGTTTATGATCAGTAAGTTTGTTCTTATGTTTTTTGTTCTTTTTATTTTAATGAAAAAGTTGAAATTGAATGAATTGAACTCGCAATTATGGTTCATATCTATTCATACTCGAACAAATAAATCCAGCTTCTCAACAAATTCAATTACTTCATTTCACGAGTGATCTGCCAAATGCTGATCGTGTCCGCGGTGGGAAAGGCACAGGATCTGAATTTCCTTGTAAAGGATAATCTAATCCAAGGCTGACTGTCCATGGAACATTTTCCTCAATCTAGTGAGGATCTCGGCGGCGGTTAGTTTGTGACTATCTTCGACAGGCAGGTAAGCAACACAAATGTGTTACTGGGGAAGTAGATCTTCCGTGGCGTACTTCAGAGAGACGGCCATATATGAAGATAGATTTATTTCTCATATAATGCCATTATCATATGAAGTCAGTGACGTATAAATCAAATATAAATTTCAATGAGATCACTTTTTTAACATTTGGAATTCTTCAGAAAGAAAAGTGTTCGTATGGCTTTTTAATAGGACTGCCCTTTTCCGAACACTGGAGACTATAAGAGGACTCATCAGTCTCTTCCGTTAATTCATTAAAAAAAACAGATGTGTTCTCAGAACATTCAGATAATTTAGGAATGAAACATATTACTGCTCTACCTAATTTACCTCCAAACTCACCGCTCATTTAGCATGTTACCAATAAACATTTAAGATATAGAGGTTATTAAATCTGACATAAAAAAAAGAACAGCTGTGGCGTAGGTAGATAATATTCCAGCATACAATATTCCCGTTGATGTCATGGAAACATTTTTTGTAGAATGTATCAAAGAATTCTTTGATACATTCCTTGGTCCATGGTCCTTCCTGGTCCATGGCCTTCACAAAGTTTTTCATTAGTCCCAACTTAATATGTAATGGGGGAAGGAGAACATCCTTAGGATCTACAAGAGGCTCGTAAACTATATTTTTCTCATTAGGGTTTAGGTCTCGTGTAGGCCAGTTCATTTTTTTATATGGTTTTAACACGTGGAAATACATTAAAATCATCTAATTTCAACCCCGAAACAAAAACTTTGTTGTGTTGTGATCTAACACCACAGATACCTACTACTCCTTTTTGTAATATGAAGAGAATGGTTAACAAGAGTGATCACAACACGACTAAGGTCAATAATTAATTTTTTTGCTAATCTTTAGCATTTTTGTGCAACAAATTTAACAGAAAAATAACCGCTTGTAACTTCTTTGAGTCACGGTGAATGCCTTTCTCATCTGAATGTTATTTTATTTGCTGCACACCATTCTGTGAATATTTTTGAATTTTTCGAAATAAAAGATATATTTTCTTTGGGTCTTTATTGTATCATGATGCACCATGATAAAGTTGTTGCGAAAAAGGTTAATATGTATATCATTATTTTATATAAAGAAGAAACAAAATTGGTCCCAAAGCAGAACCTTGTTTGTGGCACTCCGCTCATCGCGGATTTCGTTGCAGATGAGAAACTGACATCATTTACTAGTTGCTTCCTATTTTCCAAGTATGAACAAAATCATTCTTAAGATACTCCTCTCACAAAAAAGTTTCTGCGAAAGTAATTTGTGACTTACACAGATAAACATTTTAAACAAATCTCGAAAGGCTACTGCAGCTACCTTTCCATCATTTGACTTGTGGTACAGTTTATAGGTTTTGCGACAGACTGGTAAAATTGGTTGTTGCTTTCCACTATTTTCAAAACATAAGGTTCTTTCTCTCTCCGCACCATTTCTTCTAGGGAATGTCGATCTGATTCATAAAAATAGAAACATAAGTAAAGACAGAGCAGCACGCAAACAACAGACCAGAAAAAATTATCCCATTCCTTGATCAAAAATTACTTTATCAACAGTACCATTGAATTGAATAATCATCTTCCTGAAGAAGTCAAAGCTATTATTTCTCTTCCACATATCATAAATCAAGCAAAAAACCCCTATTTGGTAAAGCATTTTACAATATCAATGATTTTCTAAATCACCTGAATCTTAATTTACAATATAATGTAATTGTATATACTCGTATTGTTAACTGTATATTTTTCATATCATCAACAACTATGTGTTTACATACACAAAAAAAAAACGTTTCTTTTCAATTCACTCATAAACTAAAATTGAATCTATCTCTATACCATAAAGCAATTCATCAATCAAATTGGAAACTGTATTTTATCACTCTGCAGCCATGATAAATCTTGATCTCATCCATATTTCTGTGTACATTTGCATTTCAATTAATAATTTCAAATTTCAATATCTAGAAATTTCTATCAGCCTTTGAAGATTGCAAAATTTCAAACAGCAGAAGTATTTCCAAAAATTCTGTTTTTATCTTGAGCACGCCCTTTCTCATGAAAATGTCTAAAGCATGTTGGAACATTATCAACTCTCTCTCTCGAGAGAGAAATCAGTCGAAACACAAATCATGCCATTAATGAATTCTCGGCAGATGAGCTCAACGCTTTTTTCTGTTCAGTTGCTAAATGACTATTGAATTTTCCTTCTTCGAGTTCATTTTTTCTAGAACCCATGTGCTCATATGAGGTACATGCTGCGATCAACAGACTCAGTAATTCCAGTTCATGTGATGTACATGAACCCATTCGATAAATATGATTTTCAATAAGGGTGTTTTTCCTGATTAATTGAAAATTTCAAAAGTGATACCACTATTCAAAAAAGGAGATGAATGTTCATTCAATAATTATCGACCAATCAATATCCCCGCTGTTATTGAAAAAATTATGGAAATCATACTAAAAGAAAATAAATTTTATTTTAATAATTCATCATACGGTTTCCGTAAAAACAAATCTACATCTAAAGCTGTTTTTGAAGTTATTACAGAAATAGTCCAAGGTCTTAATCAAGGCAAGAGTACTTTGCTAAGATTATGCGACTTGACGAAGGCCTTTGACTGTGTGTGTATCGCATAACAGACTCATTGAGAAATTGAGCTACTATGACCATAAGAGGAATCGCCTTAAATCTTCTACGTTCCTACTTGACAAACAGTATGTTGAGTTAAATTAACAATAATCAGATTGTGAAAGATTCATATATGGAGTACCTTAAGGTTCACTGCTTGAACAATTTTTATTAATTGTGTATATTAATGTACCAATATATCGCACCTACATTATGTTTGCTGATGACACTACTCTTATTTGATCAGAAAAGTGAATGGGTGATATGAATATAAGTGTTTCCAAGGAATTAATCTCATCAAAAGTTTAGTTTGCACAAAACAGACTTGAACAAGAGGAAAACTCAAAATTTATTTTTATCAAGTAAAAAATGTCAAGAGGAAAAAATATTAAACTCCTAGGAATCACTATAGATGACAGATTGAATTGGTCCAGTCATGTAAATTAAGTAGTATGTTAACTATCTAGTATTCTCTCCATACTGAGACAACTGAATCATCTCACAAATCCGCATGTTTTGAAAATGGTCTACTATTTGTTATTCTATTTGGTGCTTTCTCATTTCAATTTGCTCTGGGGAAATTCGTCTCATTCGCTGGCTGTCTTCAGATGTCAGAGAGGCTATTAGAATTCTGGCAAACATAGGTTATAGAGATCATTGTCGTAAATATTTTGTCAGACAATGTTTGACTAACATCTGCAGACATGATGAATATACCACTTCCTACTTTACAACTGTTTTCATTCTGTGAATTAGTATGTTGACTCCTGGATAGTTTGAGTTGTATCCATATGTCTTCATCATATATTCATATTTTTAGATATGTGACTTTAGGTAAATCTACATAACGTAGTGAAATAAACTACTTAGATCCATTCTAAAAATTTTAAAACTATGGATATTAATATTAGACAAACCCAAGAAGACTGAGACGGTCCTTTCACCAGGAAAAGAAGTTTATTGGGTGCAAAACCTCCTGAAATCTTCAAAAGCAAACTAAACTTCTCTGAACAGGTGAAATATCTTGGTACTGTCCTCGACAGGAAGCTAACATGGAACTCTCATCTACAGAGTAGAGCAAAAAGAGCATATGTGGCTTATGAGCAATGTCGGAGGACAGTGGGACGCGCATAGGGTCTTTCACCCCGTGTGGTCACCTGGATCTACACAGCAATAATAAGACCTATGTTAACGTACGGAGCCATTGCATGGGGAGCGAAAGTTCTACAAGCAACGGCCATCCAAAAATTATATCAAATACAGCGACTGGCTTGTTCAAACATCACTGGAGCCATGAGAACAACACCAACCGCGGCAATGGAATTAATTACGGGTCTGACCCCTCTGAACCTGTACGTTAAGGAGGTTGCGTTAATGGCCATGTTACAATTGCGCACGGCTGGTGTAAACCTCGAAGTAGGAATGGGTCAATTGAGGCTGAGTCTATGGCGAGAAGCGCTTACTGCCCAATCTCTGCTGCAGGCAACCAGTGATGTAATTGAACCCAGGTTTGTGCTTAATAAACTCTACAAAATACAAATATAACAGAAGACAGAGTTACAGAGTCAGATGATACAAATGTAATACGCTTATATACAGGCGGCTCAAAAACCAAAGAAGGATGTGAAGTGTACTCCAGATCACTAAGCCTAATGATTAAGTAGGGAATGGGAAAAAATACCAGCTTGGTCCAAACAGAACTGGCTAATATATTAATCGCCATAAAAGAAATAACCAGGAAAGGAATTTCTGGCAAAACCATAACAATCTGCACTGACAGCTAAGGGCTAGTACTAGAGTGTCACCAAGATTTAGCCAAAGCCTCGGTAGATAATAACATTATCCTGAGGTGGGTTAAAGGGCACAACAGTCTTCAGATACAGATTAGACACACCTGAAGAAATTATTGCATGGCAAAACTAGTGATGGTCTCTATATGGTTGTGTGAAAATCTCTAAAGGAAGTGATGCTCGATACGATTGGAGATTATGAAATTTTTTTCCGAAAATGATGGTAGTAGATGGTAGACCCTGTCATTTCGCTCGAACATTTTTCAAATTTGCTTCGGCTTCACTGTTTAAGGTTTTAGATATATAGAACAGAAGCACTCAAAGGTTGCAGCTCTCAATAAACTGGAAGGACCAAACATCGAGTCAAAATACAAGGGATTCCTTCAACCCCACCTATTACCTTAACCTGGGAGTAAACTGATTTTATGTTCTGCAAAAATACATTACACGAATTATTCTGCCAAATCAATTCACATTCACATTTGAAAGGACCTTATATTTTTTTCTTCCAGGTATGGGTACTTCTTATTCGATGCCACACACTCCAGAAGACTTTCTTGTTGACAATATGGATGATAATATGGAAGTCGGTAGAGAGAGCCACACAATGGATACTCCGGACTTAACGAGCTTGAGTGATAATATAGATTCGACAGATGATTTAGTACCTACTTTACAGTTGGGGGAAGAGTTTCCCATATTAGAGGACGTTCAGTCATTGATAAATCCTCCGACTACAAGACCTGATAATGTACTCATTTGGTTGTAATGCAAGTGCCTGAAATCTGCTCATATCTTTCTGAACACTTTATTGTAGGCAATTAATTTCTAATTTGATTCATTTGCTTGGTTAATACATTGAGCACACATTCTTAAGTCGTTCTCTTTTGGCAATATTGGTCACATTTGAAATGACAATAACGAATATTTTATGAATTTTTGAAACACTTTGTAATATTGTATTTTGTCATAGTTTACAAGAACGTTATTTCACTGTTGGGTATGTTTTTCATACAAACATAGTTTTAATTTATTAGATAAGGCAATTGTTACTTCATATTCGTCAGTTTGTGTGTCTGCTTACAACTTTGATTCTTCGATGAAGGAATAATTGAACCAATCTATGTCACTGACACTTGACTTAATTTTTCAATTGAATGTGCATTCTAACTCATAAGATCTCAAAACTGATCGTCATCCAGTGCAATGTTAATTTTTCAACGAACTGACAAATGAAAAGTAGATGAAACATTTTTATACAACATATTTATTTGAAAAGAACTAATTTTCATTTGATATTTATATTTATTATTGTGGTCTAATATGTTATTTATTAGGTTGAAAAAATTTTATATAATACTTTATATAGGGAATTTTATAACATATCCACAATTGATTGTGTTTCGATTGCGAAACAAATATTTACATCCCCTCTCCTTATTATCTATACAATCGCAATTTATTAAGTTTCTTGATATTTTAGTAAGATATACACGTATATCGTTATTTTTAATGTTTAAATGTTATTTTGTAGTAATTTTCTCCGATTGTTCATGCCGTGAACAGTTTTGAGTAGAAATCGTTTTGATGTTTCTGATAACATGAATGTTATCAAGAAAACAAAATGCTCATATATACATATATATTTATGAATTTATATATTATAACAAATCCATCCATTTTGGTGCCTTTAATTAATTGTTGTAAATATATTCGACAATCGTTTTTAATGTAAGTGTAATACATAAACTTTTCAATTTATATACACACAAACACAGTTCAAGTAATCTTTAAGGTGGTCTTTTTTTGCAAATTTTACTAACTTAATTGTAAGAAATGAACGGATCATTTCTATGATACATAACTATACCATATTGTGTATATAGTGCCTTCATAAAGACATAACTGTGTTGAAATTTAGCCTTAATGTACCTTACTCGAGGAGCCAGGTAATACTTACCCTAGTTTAAGTGATAATAACGGTCATCACAATAATGGTAGTTTTGCTGGCAGAATGTACTATTTTGCTTTTGATATGTCCATCTGTAGAGCTTAGAAGTAATTAGGACAGCACCCATGCAAAAACATTGAATTGAGATGGCGTTAGTGTACTGAGAAAGTTTGAACCATTTCAAATATTAGATAAAAAATACTTTCGTCTAATTTCTACTAAGTTTATGTTACGACCGATTTCAGTTTGTTAGACCATTCTCAAGTAACTATTAACAAACCGAAACCGGTCGTAACCTTAGTAGAAATCGACAAAAGTATTTTCTTTATCCTATATTCAATATGAATTTTTATAAAATAAAAAGGTCATCAATCGAACAAGTTGAATTTCACTATCCTGGGCTAACTACATGGCTTATTCCCAAATGAAATTATGCTAAGCTTGTAAATGGTACTTAACAGCTCACACCAGTGTCAAACTGATACTTAACGTTGAGTTTGAAAGATGGCTGTACAATAGAGGTAATATTTTGAGATAAAATTTGGTTTATATGTTGAAAAGATACTGAAGTAATTGATGATATTTAAATGTCACGAAAAACGGTTTGAAGTAAGTAAAAGTTTCATAGTTTTGTTCGATTTTTTTTTCCAAATGGCAATTTACACAAATTTGTTGATTCTTACTCTGTTTCACCGACAATTTAGTTCAGCCTCTAACTGTAAGATGTCAGAATATAATTCATGAAGTTCTTCTGTAAACCAAGAAAAATTTTTTCATTGATAGTTAAATGTATCTGTTCAGGAGCATGAATTATGACAACATTCTCTTTAAATAAATCAATTCAGAATATTCATCATATTCATAGTGATATAAGTTAGGCAGTGCATTATCTTTATTTATCAAGGTGGTAAAATTTTTCTTTCGCAAGATTATTCACTATAATAGCTGGATAGCATATAATGATTCTGTAAGCCACTGATTCAGTCAGGCATGCTAAATGCATAAGTAATTTTCAATTTTATCTATTTAATCAATTTATTATAGTCTGAGCCCCGAAAATGTAGAGAATAGGATAGTTGAAAAGAATATCCACATACATTTTCTGCTTTCAAATAACTGTAGATGTCTGGTTTGGGTAAAATAAATTCTCAGATTTTAGAACCCATGCATGTATTCAGCATAAACCCTTGCGGGTTGCGGTGGAGGGTCGAAAAGACCTACTCACTTTGGACCTAACCTAACCTAACGTATTCAGCAGCTAAACAATATTATTACTGATAATATTGAAAATCAGTCATACTATGCGTAGTATTAATAGTCCTACATATAAATCGCCCTGGTCACCTGTGCAAGTGGACCTCTCTTGTGTTACAGATATGGAGTATAGAAATGAGGAAAGCACTCTTGCAGCTGTAATCTTTCAGAGACTGATCTGAAAACTGCGTTAAGGAATTTTTTCTCCAAAAATTATATATTCATCATGTTCATCAAATTTTGGGAACAGTTTCAGTCTGATTTCAATACTTACCCTTATGATCGTCAAAGTTTTCATTTTGTTTTTATATATCAGTCTTCAAAAGTTTGTGTTAAGGTACAATAGCCATAAGGGGTTGCAATATTCATATAATGAGGAATACAAAAAAACATAGATTTTTTAGAATTCTTCAAAACACGTGTTTCACATGATGATAAGAACAATGTCATATCTCAACTGTACAGTCATTCAATACTATCTTTGATGTTCAAAATAGAAGAACAGGTTGTCAACCGATGCAAGAAATAAACATAATTTTGGTACACTAGCAGCATTTCAATTTACTATTTCTGTTTTTCTAACTTCTGTTCTACACATGAGTATCAAACAAATCGCACAATTCATAATGTACTGGATCAAGATGCTGGAAAATATTTCAATCCAGATCCTAAAATACAAAAATAATAACTTGTCCAATAACTTATTGAAGACATTCACTTATTCACTAACAATATGTAATTTGATTCAATAATTCAGACTTTGCTAACATTAACATTTCAATTAGTTTTTTGAATCCCATTTGGCAAATATAGATTTGAAGGATTTTCAATTCACATATATTTCTATGTAATTACTGCAGACAGATTTGCGTAAGATAAAGTATTACCATTATCAGATGGAAAATTACCATCATGTCTTACTACATATTTTTTCTTTGTGAATAAGATGTTGGTCATAAACTTATCTTTCAACAAATCCCCTGAATGTAGCTTTATTTTTAGATTTTGAAAAAGTTGGTCTTGTTGATTGAAATTATAGTTACAAATAATTTTCAGTGCCGTCATATGTAACAAAACCGTTAATTTTGTAAGGAGCTATTATCAGGTGCTAATTTCGTGAAACTGTAGTAGTTTAATTTTCCATTTCTTCAAATATATACATCTTCTTAAATATTCCAAAGTTCACTAAATAACTCACTATGACACATTCACTTAGAGTTCACCAAATAAATCACTCAAGAATTTTATTAGATCTTTTCAGTAAAACTATCTGTTCATATCTTGTAAATATTGATTCATCCTGATAAAATATAAGTTTGTCACATTCGAACATTTTCAATATCACATCCAGTTATACCTCAAAATCATTTCTATCATAAGAATACTTTCTAATATTGAATGAACAATTCAGCCGGTTGCTGTCCAAATTGATTTACAAATTACACGAAAATCTATTTGAAATCGACTTTTTCCTGTTTTTATCTATTCCCTGGGAGAGGCATATGCTTTCCTCTCCAGCACTATATACGTCTCTGTCTGGTGATGTTGAAATATTCAATTTGTGGTCATTGACAGTGAAAATAATAGTTAAAACACAAAAAAAATTATTTCAATAAAAATGATCTGTCAAGTTGATTTTTCAAAAACGGTATTGGTAAATACAGAATAATAATCCTTACATGAAGATGGATGACATATTTTTTTGAATCCAAAACTCAACTGGATAACTGGTAATCGATTTATCTTTGATAATATGCTCTTACTACCAAACATTCGATTTGGACGAAGGTTTTTATCAAAAATTCAATAGAGCTTTTATTATTTTTTTGCCGTTTTTTTGTATATGTTGAACTTTGGAAAGTCTTTGGTATGTAATAATGTCAGTGTATATATTTTATTTCAAGTTGATTCGACTTGAACATCTGTATATTTAATAATATCTTGTAATAATATTTGCATTTTGTATGTTTCCAATAAACACAACGAGATAAGTATTGTGAATTTGTTTTTTTTTTTAAATGAAATTCCCTCTTATATTTCAGGAACCTTGACCAGCAACTCTACATTGTCATTTGTTTTTCAACGAGCCTTTTAACATGCATGGTTAAAAAAGAATGGAACACAGATTTCTGTGCAAATACGCAGTTTGAAGTGCAGAATCTGGAATATTAACTGGAATACAAAATTCCTAATAATTCGAGATATTAAAAAACGGATTGCTTTCTTGATGCATGAAATGATACATTAGTTCAGCTGCTGTAAGAAACACGGCCCCTCTTGCTAATGAACCTTTTTTCATAGAAAGCTGTCAAATTCAATATGGAAGCTTTTACAGACATTTCAAAAAGTTTTTTTTTAATAGAAAAATCGAAATAACTCGAGAAGCGTGAGAGATGATAAAAAATCAAAAGCAGCCTAAATTATTTTTCATTTTTGATTTGAAAAAGTTTGATTCTCTCATGAACGAACCAAAAAATTCATTTCTTTGTAGAGTTCCCAGATTTGGTGGAGCCTTCTTTGGGCCATCCTCTACCAACAAATAGCATCAGTTCCAGTTTGAATTTCTCTTCACACAAAATTTGGAATATATACCTCGGGGACCATATGAGATATAAAACCGATTGCAGTTCTAGATTCAGAACAGAGTTGCATCTATACCAATTTTAAAAGAAATCTGTCATTTTCAACCCGAAAATGTTCAAAGGGTAGTTCAATTCTTTCACGAATGGACCAAACAAAAAATGTATCCATAGAGTTATAAAATTCAATATGTTGACCTCTATGGCTATTCCATACCAGCAAATAACTTTAGATTCTTGAAAAAAATCATACAAAATTCGAAATGAATCAAGAAACATGAGAGATTTTATAAAACCAATGATCGCAGTTATTCTTCACTTACAGAATCTGTATGTCCAGAACTGATGCATCTCTGTGCCATTTTCGACTCAAAAACGTTAACGTTTCTCAGAAATCTTAAATTCAGTGTGGCCTCTATTTTCACACAAAAATCAAAATAACTCTATAACCATGAGAGTTATTACAAAACTGATTGCAGTTTTGCATTTTTCAGGTACACTGCATCTCTGTGGCAATACTCAAGAAAAATTTATTTTTCATTTTCGCACCAAGAATGGAAAATATAAATAAATAACCTTCCACAACTGAAACAAAAAGTGAATCTCTTCAAAGAATTATTAAATTCGGTGTGGAGGCCTCTATGGACATTCTCTAAACAGCAAATAGAATCAGATCCAATTTTTGAACAAAGTTGTTTTTTCGTATAAAATTTGAAACAGGTACTGTACCAATTTTCAAGAAAATATGCTGCCATTTTTGACCCTAACAAGTTCAAAGGTTAGATAAATCCTGTCATGAATGGAACAACACGTGAATTTTTCTGTAGAGTTCTCAAATTCAGTGTGGAGACTATGGGCATTCCAAAACAGCAACTATAATCAGATTCAGCGTTTTTTCACACAAAATTCGAAATTACTAGAGAACAATATGAGTGTTAAAAAACCGATTGTAGTCCTCGATTCGTCACATACGGTTTCACTCTGTGCCAATTTTCAAGGAAATCTATTTGCCATTCGGAAAATATAATGAAATAACCTTTCATGAATGGACCAAAAAGTGAATTTTTCCGTAGGATTGTCATATTCAGTATAAAGGCCTTTATGGGAATTCCGTTAAAAAAATGTAACAGGTAACTTGAGAACAATAATTTTTCAATTCTCAAGAACATTTTTTTCATTTTCACTCGAAAAATTTCATAGAGTAGGTAAACCAAAAAGGTAATTTTTCCGTTGTTCTCATATTCAGTGTAGATACTTCGATGGGTATTCCAAAAAGAATCAGATTCAATTCTTTAAAAAAGCTTTTTCACAAAATTTGAAATGATTTTAGAACAATATGAGATATTGAAAAATCGATTGCAGTCCTGGATTCCTTACATACAAATACGCCTCTGTGCCAATTTTCAAATACATTTTTCATTTCAAGTCGTCTGGTATGCAATTGGAGACATTTCAAAAATATATTCAGTTTTGTCCTTGAAAATATCATCTATAAGGCAAGTTTCAACATACCTTCTTGAAACTCAATAAAAAATTTCAAAAGCATACTTCAAGAAGTGTAGTTTATTCTCGAAATGTCTCTCTGGATATCACAACCAGTTATCGATAGAGAGAAGAGAAACGTAAGAATTTGGAGTCACAACCATAGCTGCTCTAACCTAGTTTTGAAACTTTAAGCAAAGCCAAATAACTTACATACCTCATAAGATCCATTTGCATTCTATAACAACTAATCAACGATAAATATATTCAAAGTATTTGAATCACAATATTAGTAGGCAAAGTAAAGATAAACTTCCTTTACACATAAAAAATGTAAATGAAATAGAAGAAGTTATTTTAAACTTCATTGGGGAAGTAAGTTCAGAGTAACATGAACAGGGCATCCCAACGAAAACTTGACCTCCTTTTTCAACTCCGAAACAGACACTTCACCCTCTTATGGACAGCAACTACCCTTCTACAACATTCGAAATGCCCTTTTCCCCTCTTATATCTTTGTAGTTTTTTCAAAACTGGTTCATCTTTATCAAGAAATTCGATGTTGAACGTTTTACTTAAGAAAAATTTGCTTTTGTTCCTTTTACTGAAAAAAATTGACAAACAACACCATTGACAAAAATATGGAAGTAGCTGTTGCCCGCAAGGGGGTGGAGTTTCGTGTATGCATTCTATAAAAAAGTTGAACCTCTTCAAAACAAAAATTATCATGTTCTTCAGAAATTTTCGACATACGTCTTTCTCACTTGAGGGTTCAAGTTTACGTTAGCATACTCTATATTATAAGTGTAATATATGGAAATATATGTTTCAAATTAGAGAAAAACAATGTATAACTCTCCTCACAGTAACAAAAAAGTCATCTTTAGTCCATCAAATTTTTTTAAGATCCTAAAATTATCGATATCCAACAGTAATTAACAATAATATTCAGACCACTAATTAAACTTTGGTTCAAAATTAGTTTAATAGTTAAAATATAATAACGTTTGGTACACTTATTGCTGAAGATTTTTGATAATTGAACAAATTCACGATTGACTATATTTAATTGTTTATAATGTATCTATAGTGATATGGTGAGATGAAGGATTACTTTTATCTGAACGTCATGATATAACTGATAGCACAGTTGCTGTTCCCAATATACATCTGATAAACTGGTCTCAATATTGTAGCAAATAATTATAAATTAAGCGCCAAAGTAAGGTTGGTACCAGTTAGGTGGATATGACTGAAATTACTGTAAAAAGATGTAGGGAGGTGGGAAAAAACTTAGGAGTTAGTTGATGATTAATGACGGGTTGACAGAATGTTTTTTGATTCACATAGTTGTTTCTATGATTTGAAAAAAAAAATTAAAAAAATTAAGTGGAGACCAGTTTTTGGACGCTAATCGATTCAATTGTTATTAACTTTCCGTTATCTCCCACAATATGGAATCTTTATTTCAGAGATCAGAGTGATACAATAACTAGCCTACGAATGATCAAGATTTATAGCACACAAATAGAAGTTTGATAAGATGAACGATTTTCTAAAGATCGAACTATTTGATTAAATAGATAAAAATCCGGGCTGGTAGGCCACGGTCAAATGAAAACTGAAGTACAAAACGTTTCGTCTGCTATTGCGGCAGACATCAACAGTTGTATGTATGTGTGTTGACTATGAGGAGAAAGGTTATATCTTGAAGTCTCAGCAAAGACTGCTTCAGGTTTCATTCGACCACAGCCTACCTTATATTATCAACATTTAGGGAGTGATTCTGCGAGTGATTCATTTTTATTCTACAATTCACAACAATACACTCTTTCCAAAAAAATGTCAATGCTGCACATAAAGAGAGTGGCCATACTTGGAGACTGGCTGTAAATCAAATTATCTAAAGAACAATTCGTTCAGGCCAGTCTCAACTTACCTACACTGTAGGTAAGAAAACAACTACTCCCCTTTTGTTTGAAAGTGATTGACAATGTTTCATGATGAATTTCATTAGTTCGGACTTCCATTATCTAATATTATATAAAATAATTTGAAAT